AGAACTCACTTGGTAGCCCAGGCTGGCCTCGAACTCACAGAGATCCGCCTGGCTCTGCCTCCCGAGTGCTGGGATTAAAGGTGTGCACCACCACTTCCCGGCTGGTTCTGAGCTTTTTATTGAAAGACTATTTGAGTTTCGAGCAACAGGGGGAGTTGAGGGGAGGTACATGGCAGTCTCCAGGTTTGGGGTCAAGGTCAGCTTCCTGATACTGTCTGAAGAAGCAGGTGGCATGGCCCAGGTAAAATGTAGAACCTGTATGGAGCTGCTGCTCTGTGAATGCGTGGAGATGCTCATCAGCGGGAGGTCAGGGAACCTCAGGGTGGTGAGGCACCAACCGCTCTCTCCCAACAGTTACAGAAGGCCCCGTCTTCGCCATGTGCATGGCTGGCGCCCATGACCAGGCAACACTGGCCAAGTGGATCCAGGGCCTGCAGGAGACCAACCCAGCGCTGGCACAGGTCCCCGTGGTATTTCGCCTGGCCAGGTCCACGGGGGAGCTGATGACAACCTCAAGGCTGGAGGAACAATCCCCTCCCCACGGTCCTCCCAAGGGCCAGGAGGAAGATGAGGCCCCTCAGGCACAGCAGCAGCAGGGTCAGGGTTGAGTCTGAGCTGGCATGAAGCAAGAGACTGAACTGGTACAAAATAATATGGACAAAATAAAAACCTCTGCCCTGGCCATGTGGCTTCCCTTAAGATGTTATGCATGAGCTCGTCTGGCTTGACCGTCCTGGGACCCTCCTTTGTTATTTATCCTTTTAAAAATTCCCTTTATGTATTTATGTGTGGGAGGGGTGTGTGGCGGTCGTACTTGCCGGAGTCGGTTCTGGCTTTCCACCCTTTTGAGTCCCGCAAATGGAACTGGGATTGTCGGGTTTGGCGGCAATCGCTCTTCCCCGCGGTCATCTTACTGGTCTTTTGTAAAAAACCTTTAAGGTAGGGTTATGCTCTAGAATTCAGGAGACAGCGGAGGATAACCTTGAGCTCCCGGATCCTGCAGCCTCCACTTCCCAAGGAGCAGGGTAACTGGAGTGTACCTCTGGCCCGCGCATGCGCAGCTCCGGCTAGCTGTCCCCGTTTGGCGCCGCGGGCAGTGAAGAACCTGTGAGAAATCTCCCGGCGGCGCGGACTAGGCGCGCCACTTCCGGTCGGGGCTCCTAACAACGGGGGAGGCCGGTAACCAGGGTGGGGGGGATGGCGGAGCGGGCTCCAGAGCCCGGGGCGGAGGCGGAGGCGGGCGCAGGCGGGGAGGCGGCGGCAGAAGAGGGCGCGGCGGGCCGAAAGGCGCGGGGCCGGCCGCGGCTCACAGAGTCGGACCGGGCCCGGAGGAGGCTCGAGTCCCGGAAGAAGTACGACGTGCGGCGCGTGTACCTGGGCGAGGCGCACGGCCCCTGGGTGGACCTGAGACGGCGCAGCGGCTGGAGCGACGCCAAACTCGCTGCCTACCTCATTTCGCTGGAGCGCGGCCAGCGTAGCGGCCGCCACGGGTGAGGGGGCGCGGGGCCGGGAGAGGGAGGGGAGGAGGGAGAGGCGGGGAGAGCGCGGCCCCGCCCCCGAGCTCGAGGCCCCGCCCCCGGCCGCCAAGCAGGCCCGGGTCTCCCGCTCCGGCGGCCCGGACCCCTCGCGCGCCGCCCCCCGCCTGTGACTAGCCAATGCAAGCCTTGCCCCGCCCCTCTGCCCGCCCCCGGGGCGCTGACTGGTCCATCCTGGGGTCGGCCCCGCCCTCGCTGGCCTAGGCGGGGGCGTCTCAGAGGTGTGTGGCTGCAAAGGCGCTGGGCGCCCTGGTGCTGTGTGTGGACACCTTGCCTGCGTGTGTGCATGTGTACCACGTGCTGCCTGCGGAGGTCAGAAGCGGGTGTCAGATGCCCTGGAACTGTAGTTACGGGTGGTTGGGAACCACCCTGTGGGTGCTGGGAACCAAACCGGTGCAGAAAGCGGTCCTAACCACTGAGCTCTCTCTCCAGCCAGCCTTTTGTTTCAACTGTCTTGTCAGGAGCTACCTACAGTGTCAGTAGGGAAAACTCCACCTATCCTGCTCCTTCTCACCTGAAGACTTTGAAAAGGACAGTTAACTCGGAACTTCTTTTTTGTCCGACTTTCCCTGGGCAGAGTTGCTCCCCAGGAGCCAAGGGACTTACGGGCTTAATTAATTGTTTATTGGTTGGTTTTTCGAGACAGGGTTTCTCTGTGTAGCCCTGGATGTCCTGGCACTTGCTCTGTAGACCAGGCTGGCCTCGAGTTCAAAGATCTGCCCGTCTCAGCATCCTTCATGCGGGGACTAAAGGCATGCACCAGGCTTGGCATGAGGGTTCTTTTAAGATTGTATTAGTGTGTGTGTGTGTGTGTGTGTGTGTGTGTGTGTGTGATGTATGTAGCCCCACAGGTGGAGATGAGAGAACAGCCGTGTGGAGCTGGTCCTCTCCTACCATGTGTGTTCTAGGGATCCAACTCGGAGCATAAATGTTTCACCACACCGTAGTTGTTCATATGTTGGTAAATGGACATGTGCTGCTTGCCCATACAGAGAAGCTGGCTCTGGAAGTATGGATGCCCCCCTCATATTTGAGACCCAGGCCTGTTTGTCTCAGTGCCCTCCAACACCCTTTGTCTGGGGTAGGGTGGGCCCTCTAACTCAGACACAGGAAGAGAAGAAAATGGCAGAACTGCCCAAGAGTGAAAAAGCCCTTAAGAATAGCAGGAAGGGGGAGTGCTTCCCACAGAGCTTCCCACTGCTTGTCCACAGCTATGGAGAGAAAGCTCAGCCTGGAATTCCAGCTGATGCCTCAACTTCCCCAGTCAGCTGACGCGCTGTGAACACCTGATTCTTTGATATTAACTCTACTGTCTGCACAGACAGTTCTAGCCAGTCAGGGCTTCGTCATGATAACCCTGTCTCAAATAAAATACAAAATAAAAATGCAGAGCTTAGAAAGGGTTCGATTCACAGTGTGTCTTGTTCTACTCTTGTTTGCACTCATCTGTCTGACTCTGGGTGCTGCAGAGGGTGCCTCAGCGGCTAAGAGCACTTGTCGGAACTGGGTTTGGTTCCAAGTACCCACATTGTGGTTTGCAGCCATCTAGAACTCCAGTCCAAGGGATGCAGTGCCTCTTCTTACCTCCATGGCCACCAGGCATATGCATGGTACAGAGATAAATGCAGGCAAAAAATTATGCACATGAAATGATAAAATCATTTAAAAAGTTAGCCAGCCATAGTGGCACACGCCTTTAATCCCAGCACTCTGGAGGCAGATGCAGATGGAGCTCTCTAAGTTTGAGGCCAGCCCGGTCTACATAATGAGTTCCAGGATATAGCCAGGGCCACACAGAGAGACCTTGTCTTAAAAAGAAAAAACAAAACAGACAAAAAACCCACTTTGATTCTGTGGGGCAGTGATCAGCCAGGAGCAAGGGGTATATAACTCAGCACCCGGTGGTGGAGTACCTAATATGTGAAAAGCTCGGGGTCCCACCCCAGCCTTTCAAGCACACACACACAAACACGCACACGCACGCGCACGCGCACACACTCACGCACACGAGGGCGCTTACACACATACATACACGCACACGTCAGCATCTCGCCTTCCATGCATGACGCTCCAGATTCATTGCGTGTTTGTAATCACAGCCCTTCAGAGGAAGGCATTTGCTCCCAAGCCGCATGACCTTAGTTGATCCCAGGACACATGTGGCAGAAGAAAACTGACTCCTGCGAGTCCTCCTCTCCTCCATGCACAAGCACTATGCATTCCCTACCTCTGTAAATAAGTGAGTGTAACACATTATTTTGAAGGTCAAGATCTTACACTGAAGCATGAAGAGTGAGAGCAGGCACAGGGAGGCCAGGAAGGAGGAACTTGTAATAATCCTCCTGCCTCTACCTCTTGAGTGCTGGGATTATAGGCATGAGCTACCACAGGGTTTATTTAGTTCAGGGAAAGGAACCCTGGGCTTTGTGCATGCTAGGCATGTGCTCCAATATTTTCTTCCTATTATTTTTTCTTTATCTTGCTTTTTGAAACAGGGTTTCCCTCTACCTACAACCTAAGCTGGCCTTGACTTCTTGATATAGTCCAGACTGGCCTCAAGTTCATGATCCTCCCACGGCTGCTCTCTAAGTGCTGGGGAGACAGGTGTGCACTACCGCTTCTGACTGATATTGTCAATTGATGGTTGGTGAAGTTTGTGGGTACAGAGGCTGACTCTGAATACAGGGCATGTGCCCCCACGGGGTAGGAATCAGGGGGCCCTCCTAGCCTTCCCCCAACTCTTCCACATCCCATCTGCCGGGGACCTTCTGAGTGCTAGTGTTCTCTGAGTTAAGTAATGGTAAGAGGCCTCCATTCAGGGCTCCTGGCAGGGGCAGGTACCCAACCAAGGACTGCTGGATCGGGAACAGGACAGCGGAAGTTCAGACTCCATCCCAGAGCAGATGAACTGCTGTCGTTTGTACCAGGCCAGGACTTGAGCCCCAAATTCACCCTCACCACCTCTCTGTGTTGCAGGAAGCCTTGGGAGCAAGTCCCCAAAAAGCCAAAGCGGAAGAAAAGTAAGTGGAGCTGCAGTGGGTGTGTGTGTGGGGGGGGAGGCGGCACACACGGACCGTAGCCTAGAAGTCGCCATCCATGTCCCTTGCTGCACGGGTGAAGAGCCAGCCCCAGCCCTGCCTGCTCGAGGCAGAGTGTGTTAGGTGCCAGATGGGTTGACCCTGACAGGCCCCAGCCAGCGTGACCTCAGCGCCTTGCCAAGTCTTTAGGCTGCCGATCTCTAGCATGCCCAGCCAGGTGGTCCAAGAGGGAACCGCCTGGTCGCAATGAGCCCTGCTCTGCTTCCGTTTTGATACATGGGTCTCAGTGTAGCTCAGGTTAACCTCAAACTCATTCTCCAGCAGAGGCTGGCCTTTATCCCACAAATGCTAGGCTGATTGGGTGTGCCACAAGTACAGTTCACGTGGTGCCAGTGATGAACCCCCGGTTTTGTGCCGTACAACTAAGCCATATCCCCAGCTCCTAATGAAAACATTTCTTTCCATTTGTTTATTCTTTTGGGTGTGCGCATGCACGTGTGTGCACATCGCAGGGGTGAAGTCGGAACAACTTATGGGAGTTGCTTCTTGCTTTCTACCACATAGGTCCTGAGTATCTAACTCGGGTGGGTCAGGCTTGGTAGCAAGTCACTTACCACCGAACTATCTTTTTTCTGGCCAGTTTTACTGTGTAACCCAGCTAGCCTCAAAAGTCAAAGTCACCCTGTCTCATGGGATTACAGGCATGCGTAGTCATTCCCGTTCGCAGCTCTGGCACATGAGTTCTTGGAGGCAGAGGCAAGTGAACGGTCTTAACTGTGCAACCACCCAGGGTTAGGGGGTGCCAGGCTGGGAATGGAGCCGCTGTTGAAGTCCATGTCACTGACGTGGTTCTCATGGGCACACTCCCTCAGCCTGAACGCCTGTCCCTTCCAGCCCTGCCCCATCATCCTCTCACAGGCCCTAGCCTTGCTGTGTGCCCTCGTGACCTCTTTGCCCCCTCCTGCCCCTGTGGCAGTTGCCACAGGTGGAATCCTGGTTCTGCCCTGGCCACTCACTTAGAGCTGCCCAGCCAGACTGTGACCAAGCCAAGATCTGATGCAGGCTGTTTGGCTCCGCTCTGGCCACCCTCCAGCACCCTCACCATGTCTGGTGAGTTCTCACCCTAACTAGTCCCAGGGAAGCAAAACGGTGACGTCTCTGCCTTCGTGGGGCTGTCAGTCTAGCGGGGGAGACAGACAAGAGGCATCTGAGGAGACAGCCACAGGCAGCCTCTTTGTGCTGTTCGAAACAAACCAAAGTTAGCTGAGAGACTCTGGAGAGCATGGTTTCTGAGAGGAGGGTACATGTGGAGCGGTCTCTGAATGAAGGCCCTGGGCAAGGCTGTTACTGAGGATTAGGGTACAGCCTGTGCAAAGGCCGA